AGAGAGAGAGAGAGAATTTCTATGAAATTGAACTGCATTTTCAGCCCTCTGAATTCTTTACACTGGAACCCCAAAATACCAGTGCGAGAGACAGAGACTAAGTTTCTGTGACATTGAACTGTATTCTCAGCTCCCTTAATTCATTACACTGGAACTCCAAAAATCAGAGAGAGAGAGAGAGATTGCAAATTCAAACATAGAATGAAATATGAGAGAGAGAGAGAATTTGGAAATTCAAATTGAAACCTTGAAATTGTAGGATAAAGTCAACAGTGGAATTCCAATTTAGACAGAACTTGCCACAAAAGAACCCTGCGACTTAAATTTCCTCAAGAATCTTATAGAAATGTTCCTTCCCAAAAATAATGAAGAAATGTAAATTCAGTTAAATTCTAATTCAAGAAATCATATATTAAAAACTCATAACTTTCAATTTGGGAAATGCGCATTTTTCTTTATAAATTAATAAATGAAATGGACGCATTTTTAGCTCCTCTGCTTCTACAAATTGCAGCCCAGTATGGATTCTTTATGTAAAAAAATCCCCAATAATTTCATAAATGCTATAATAATCAGTGAAATTCTAATGAAAATAGAACCAACACCTCTAAAATTCAAAAATTTGTAAAAAGACATACTCAAACATATAAAATGAAAAATTACAGCTTTTAATTTCTGATTATATCTTATTATAATGTCCAATTGATACTGAAAACCCAAGCACAAAAATTTCAACACTATTCCTCCAAAATAAAATGTTCTCTCTGTAACTCAAAACCCAAATTCGAAAAATCAAATTATCATATGTTCTCGACAAAAAGCAGATAGGAGAAAAAAGCGTACGGGCACACAGAGTTCTCCAGGGTCTTGGCCATCGCCAAAATTCCGGCCAAATGGGTCAGATTCGGGCCCACATAACTCCCCAAAATTCCCTTCGAAGGACGATTTCCCGGCAACCTCACCGACAGTCACAGTCGAAGAATCGCCTGAATGTGTCAAATTTCCGGCGTTTTCATCCAGCCCACCAGTAATCTCCTCATTAGAAAAATCAAGCAAATCCTCGATATGAAAAAGGTCGCCATTTTTGTTATACTCTGAGTATTTCTTATCAAACATGTAAACCCCACTATAGGGATAATCCGGCGCTTCCATTGTGTTCAGCTATTTTCAGGCCTTATTTCCCTCTGTTTCAGCCCACACAAAAATGGGTTTCCTCCTCTCTCTAGAGAGAGAATTAGTCACTGAAACAGATGGGCTTTCTGTCAAGTGCGAGAAAGAAGGGTTAATGAGAGAGAGAGAGAAGTGGGTTTCTCAGTTCAGAGTGGGAGAGATGTTGGGTTGGGTGTTTAGAGTGTGTGAAGACTAGAGAGAGAGAGAAAGTAGAGACAAACTCTAGAGAGAGAAAGGGTTTCAGATATGGTTTATTTACGCATAGAGGAAGACATGGTACAGCCAAAATGGTGGGTTTTCATGGGGTAAAGCATCTTATCAGACCAGAAAAACCAGTGGGAAAATCATTTTAAAAAAGGCGTTGAAATTCAATAGAAAGTATTTTTTTACCCAATATTTAATCCCCAAAACGTACAAATTAGAGTAATTAACCATTTTTAACCCTAATTTAGCGGTGATAAAAAAGGATTAATGGCAAAGTTTAAAGCTGATTCCTTCACATTGGGAATTGTGTAAAATAATTTTAATTTTTTTCATTAATTTTTATTTATTTTTCCGCCATTATTTAATTCTGTAACCCACGTTTTTGCACGACGGTTACAGCTCGACCTGGTCGGCCATCGACGGTCACGGTAAAGCCACGTTGCGGACCATTGGGGCTCTGACCGGTTTCGCTTTAACCGGGTCAATATCGCCATGTGGAGGTTCATGCCACGTCAACATCCAAGGACCCGGGTGGCCCCGCATGCGGGCCCAGAGCGAGTCATGGGTGGCGCCACGTCATTCCAGAGGCCGACCCTCGCCGCTAGATCTGGGTCCCGGCCCACCACGTGGAAGCCATCGGATAGAATGGTGATGTGGCGTTTTGAGGAACTTGGATGGATATGGAGCGCTCTACGCCGATCCTCGGTATATCGGAGGGTCCAAAATTCAGGTAGCATGATGTTTTCATTTGTTCATTATTTTAACACTCTATGCACTGAATGTTTTCCCAATTTTTTCGTTTTTTTCCTCATGCGTTGATTTCACGGATTGGACGGTTGTGGTTTCAGATAAGTGAAATGATATTCTACTCCTGCAGGAGCATACTGTTTATTTGCTCCCTCCATTAAAACATGAGTTGGGAGTATTTCTTGAACATGAGTAGTTCATGGATGTGACCTTTCGAATAAAATCAGGAAGGAAAAAAGTCAAATAGCACAATGTGCTTAAAAACAAAATAATATCCTACGATTGAACAGTGACCAGCCAATTTTCAAATACAAGATTTAAGTGTCGAGAAACTTAATGTCAAATTTTATTTTTTTTCCTCCAAAGTAATCATCTAGTGATCATAAGGTGGATTGCAGCATTTCGCCTCAACAAAGACCTTCCTAAATCGCTCTTTTGCCCGAGGAATTAATGTACAAGATACTCCAGCAAGAGCACACAGCATTCACTATTTAGCTAATATGATTTTTTATTAATAAAATTTATATTTTATCATCCGTTTACTGCTTTATTTTTTATTTTTTTATATAATTATTATTATTATTATTTTCGGTGTGTCATTTTATGCTTAGATTTAAAGGGAAGACTGGTAAAGGAGTTGGGGTGGTATCAGGTGTTGCGTGGCGTGAGGGACTTATTTTATCAGATTTGTTTTTCTTTTCTTTACCTTTTTTTTTCTCCTTTTTCTTCCATTTTTTGTGATTATTTTAACATGCTTTTTATCTAGAGGGTGGGGTCCACGTGGCACGTGATAGGCCTGAACCGGGTGTCAGCGGTGCATGTGACTCCCCTCAAAGCCCCAGCCGGCGGTGGCGACCGCCACGTGGCGGTGGCCGACTCGTCGGTGCATTCACCTTGCCGGTTTCCGTGAAGCTTCTCGCACGTGTGTATATGCACGTGAAAGGGCACGTGCCGTACCTCGTTCTACGGTAAAGGATGGAGGGGGGGGAGGTTCCCTTTCTCGTGCCCTTCCTTCTTTTCGTTTTTTTTTTTTCCTTTTTTTCCGACTTTTTTCCCTTCTTACTTTTCTTTGTTTTGTTTTGTTTTGAACTTTTTTTTTTTGTCTTTTCTTTTATTGTTAGTGGGAGACAATTGATTTTCCCTTGCTTTTATCTCTTTTCTTATCCAATGCAAACACGTAATACAATTTAGAGAGAACTTAGAAAAGGGAAGGGCGTTTGGTTGTATGTAAACCAATCATTTAAAACTCGTTGGGTCATCACGGAATCATTTATGTTGATTTGGGAATCTCGCACCTTATTTTGAATCTGCATATATATAAAAAAAATAGCTGAGTTTAAAAAAGAACTCATAGTTCTACAGTAAAATGATAATCCTATATAATCTAGACTCCCGATTCACCGGTCTAGACCAATTTTTGGCCGGTTCACTATTTTTTCATGTGTTTTTTTATCAGTTTACTGAATTTTTCGCACAATAAAACAACAATATGGACCGGCTCTTGGGGTGTCTGATCTAGGTGATCCGTTTTTTAAATCAACGGTGTAAAATACTATTTAAAAACTGGGATCGATAGGGTGGATCATCCACCCTATACATCTATGTCGGATTGCTGATTCGTGTTGATTTAAATTAGGAATAAAAATATAAAAATTATAAAAAATTATTTTATTTTTTTGGTTGGGTTGGGAAAATGGAAGAGGAGCAAGAGGGTAGAATGATTTAAGACCTAAGAACACATTCATAGCATGAAAAAGAAAGAAAAAAAGTCAAAGGAGTTTAGTTAGGATGGGGGCACGGTACTGATACCTTCTTGAAATCGATTTCGGTTGACTCATTCTCAGTTTGGATTATAATTCCCAATCCCAATCGCTGGATTTTGAAACATTGGTTTAAAAGATAAAAATAGGTAGGTTGAACCGGTTACACCACTATTTTAGTTTAAATTGTTGGACTGAGCGAGCTCTCTAACTAAAAAATTTTAAAAAAATTGTGCAATTCAAATATTGGTTATTTAAAATTTTCCAACAAATTTAGATTTTTTAAATCTATGAAAATAAATTTCATATGAAAAAAAAGCCGGTCAATCTAGTCTTTTTTTAATCCTTTGCTAGTATCGATGTAAAGAGCCCAATGGCACTTATTTGATTTCGAACATTGTACTAGGTGCTCCTCAATGAACCTGGTGGAGCCACCAATATAATGATTGAAAAAACTAAATAGAAATTGATCAAATACCTATGAGATTCTACTCAATTACCACTACTCCAACTCAAGGTCCTATATTTTTTATAGATATTTGGAAATTAAAACAAAAGATATGGTAAAATGTTCAATTATTCATCGTGGGTAACTTGATAAATGTTTCGAAAATAAATAACAAATTTTGAGAGCAATAACGTTCCTCAACCTTTCATTATCAAAGTGGAGGGATGAAGAGTTGTTAGCGTGTTGTTTGAAATTATACAAGTACCACAATGTGCTTTTCCTCAAGCTAAGGGTAAAAAGCTCATGAGTATAGGAAATTCATAGTTTGAAAATGGGTTGGGGTTTTGGCGGTAGTACCAATGAGCTTTATGATGAAGTCTCTGATTCCATTCTCATCAAAGGGTAGGGGCTCAAATACTCAATGACTTACATTTCTTATTTTCTTTTTTTTATAGGAAATTCGTAGCCACTATTGTGTTTAATTATACTAGCTCTCTTCCGCCTCCATGATGAGAGGTGGATAAGAACCTTTCCTCGACCGAAGAGGGCACTTGTAGTCGATGGAACGAGGCGAGGTCCTTAACCTCTGACAGAACAAGCTGCCTCGCCCTCTGCTCTGTCTACTGCTCGACTCTTCTATACACTATATTGAACGAGTAGTGGAGACGAATTTGATTAAACAAGCAGCTCTTTCAGTCTACCCACTCTACTTCGACTGAATGAGCAGTGGAGACAAGTTAAGCTGTGAAATTGACTAAACTGTAATCTCATTCAATCCTGAGTCTATGGAGCATGTGTCCTTGTTGCAGGGGATATGAGTTAATCATATTGATTTATTGCCAAGTTAGGAAGAAAAATCATGGGAACTCGCCAAATTTAAACAATTCCAAGTATTTTGCTTTCTCATTATATACAATGAGACTATTTATCTTTGATACAAGGTGGTCACAATTACTTACAACAATCCAATGTGAAATTTGATGGCTTGGATGTATCACAAAGTTTGAGCAAATTTCTTTTGAAGTTTGACCTTGGTCAATGGAATAATTGCAACCACCCAATTTCACATCTAAAGGTCAAGTTCAATGTGACCACCTTGTACCACAGGTAAATGTTCTCATTCTATGCTTTCCCTTTTGCTATCATATTGTTGTTGTTATTTTTCGGTCTTAGCCAAGTACTTAATAGACTTGGTCAACAAACCTAACTTGGGCTTCGGCCCTGATGACTCGTGAGCCCTTGTTTTATAACATTCTTACATACTAGTAGAGAGGATCATGAGAAACAAAGTACCATCTACTAGTTTGTGTGTTAAATAGTGCACTATAAACATCCAGTTTGATGATGAATGGTGGAGATTAGTAGGCTTCAAGCAATTTTCCGTCACGGTAAATTACGGTTATTATGGACCATAGGTCATCAGTATGGGTGGTGAAAACGATACCTTCATTGATGGTAAATTGGATATTTGAATAGCAGTTTTTCTTTAATCAAAAGATACAAGGCTCTTGTACGAGTAAATTCTCCATTTAGTCCCTCATGTAAAATCCCATCTAGGAGTATCTTTTAGATTCCAAATTTCAGGCGATAACATCTTCAAATAGCACTTTTTATGTGTCTTAAAAAAATGGGATTGTATACAATGAGACCATTTACCTTTTGGTAGTGAGATTCTGTCGTCTTATTTTTCCCTACCGCCCTCATTTCCATTAAAAAAAAAAAAAGGTCATATAATGTGAAATTTGATAGCTTAGGCATGTCATAAAGTTTGAAACTTTTGTTTTGAATTTTGAGCTTAGACAAATAAATAAGTGCAGTTGCCCAATTTTATATTCAAGAGTCACCCTCATTTCCATTAAAAAAAAAAAAAAAGGTCATATAATGTGAAATTTGATAGCTTAGGCATGTCATAAAGTTTGAAACTTTTGTTTTGAATTTTGAGCTTAGACAAATAAATAAGTGCAGTTGCCCAATTTCATATTCAAGAGTCAAGATTAATTATGACCATCTGGTATCAAAGGTAAATTGTCTCATTATATTTTTACTAAAAAAATAGTATCCTAAAATTAAACAAATAATGCCAATTTTTGGAGGGAGAAAACTCAAAATCCAAATCTTCCTAGTTAGATAATTAGTTATCAGGTGATTCTTGGGTGAACTTCATAATTTCAAA